TTCACCGAGACCGACACACCGAGCAGTGCTCTACCGTAGACCACAAGCGTTTATACATGCACTCGACGACAAGCAATTGGTGCTGGAAGCGTCGATGGTGATTGCTTTAGGCTTATTGTTAATAGTCAGTAGTCATCTCGCGACGACAGAAAAATATATGAAACTAATTCAATAGGTACTAAAATAGGAACTAATGCTATACTTGCACCACTAGGTAATAATAAATTTAAAAAATTTAATTTATGTTTTTTTATACCAATTATGTTAAAACCTAAATAAATAGTTAATGCTAAAGTAAAAGTAATAATTAAATGACTAGTCACAGTAAAACTGTACGGAACCATTCCAATTAAATTACATAATAAAATAAAAAAAAAAACAACAAAAATTAATGAAACAAAATATTTACCCGCTTTACCAATACTTGAATAAGTTAATTCAATAGTAACATTAAAAATCATTTCAAAAATTTGTTGAAAACGTGTTGGAATAAATTTAGTTTTTATACATGTAAAAATATATAAATAACTTAAACCTATTATTAAGATTAAAGAAGCGTTAGTAAATACAAAAGGTATTTGAAAAATAGGTAAAATTTCAAATTGTTCTAAAGGACTAAACATAAAGATTTTTAATTTATTAAATATAAATTAATTACCACCCCACCAGTAAACAGCTACAAATAAAAATAACCAAACAACATCAACAAAATGCCAATACCATGCAGCAGCTTCAAAACCGAAATGGTGTTGTTTTGTAAAATGATGATTAATTAATCTTAAAGTACTTACTATAATAAAAATAGTACCTACAATAACATGTATACCATGAAAACCTGTTAATAAAAAAATGGAGACTTATTCGACCTTGTGGCTCCCGCGTCACTCATGGCGACGAGATGGAGATTTGTTCCTCGCACTGGAGCTTTTATCTGTTCGGAAGCAAGATACCGCTGAAGTACGTCTGAAACTGGAGATATACGTGACTCGAGTTTGTGAAGAGGAAAGTGGATACGCGCATCCGCTAGTCATAGTGGCTATTGCCCGATTGGCTTTTCGATCAAGTCGAGCGAAAACGTCGGATATTTAGCACAAATTGCTGGATATTTTCGCTAAACTTTACCCAGGAGCTGCTACTTAATGGCTGAATGAAGACGAAGCGCAGCATATCCAGTCAACGGCTAGTGTATCAACTGGATCCGGTTCGATTATCTCTGGGCCAGCGTCTGTGGAGGATAAATGGAGTCTTTGAAGATTCAATATGGCTGTCGCTCGGAATCTATGGAAAATCTACTGAAGTTGGTGGGCCTGAAGAAAGTGAAGCAAGCTGCTGTAAATTTATTTAAGAATGCAATGGCCTTACAGCAATTATCGGCCACGCAACGGAAGAAAAACTTGATGGGGTTCAACTACAGCGTTGTAGGGAAACCTGGTACTGGGAAGACGACAGTGACGCGATTGTTTGCTAATATCCTATATTAAATATCATAAGATTTTTACTCACTATACCCTCCACACTTAAGGCGATCGATACACTTCCAATTTTCTGCAATGAAAACAAGATCTCGGACCATGGTAGCCTTCAGCGAGCTTCTCTTCACCGTTATGACGTTTCCACTTGTCGAAAAAGCACGTTCTGACGGAACGCTTGTCGCCACGGTCCCCAGCCACTTCCTCGCTAGTCTGCGCAAGTTGGGGTAGTCATCTCCATTCGCCTTCCACCACGTGAAGGGATTCAGGTCATTTTTCACGGTAACAATGCACTCTAAATAGCGAGTGAACTCCCTTTTGCACTCTGTTTCTAAATCTGTGGCTGCGATTCGAGAAATATTCGGCCCGAAGAGATGATGGATCATGTCATTCCGTTGCTGCTGCTCCGCTTCTTCGATGGGTGTTTGGTGACGGGGATCCGTTCGTTCAGGTGGTAGCGTTTCGTTTGCCAGCTGCACCATTGCCTGTACAAGTTCGTTGCTTGCATTTGGCTTGTCGATAGGACTTAAGTGAGACATCCACTTTCCTACACGCGGATCCAAGTACGCAACCCACCTAAGCTCGCTTTTCTCCAAGTCCTCGAATCTTTAACGTACAATGTTAGCATCCCCTTTCTGCAGTCATTCACCATTAACACCGTTTGAGCCACGTACGCTTCGTCACCGGCTTCTGCCGCAAGACTGGCAAAGAGATCCGTCTTCTCCAAATGCTTTCGAATACCGGATAACACAGGGAGAACCAGCGGCATCGTAGGATAAGTTTGTCCACCTAGTGTTTCTGAGGCAACGGCAAACGGCCCCAGCAGAGCTCGCAAGCACTTTATAGTGAGCCATTCCTCGGCAGTTGGACGATATAATTTTCTTGCCACATCTTTGAACTCTCGGATACCTTCAGGATTTTTCAGGTACGTGAAAAACTTCACTAGAGCTACTTCCAACTCTATCATTCTTTGGAGCATTTGCCAGCAACTATTCCATCTTGTGGCGCAGTCGACAATAGGCTTCTTAACTTCGTGATCTTTGACGCTGAAATGTTCAATTTGAAGAGCATTTAATCGGTTACAGCCCTTTGCTGACTTTCTAAAGTACACAGCAAGCGTCCGGAAGCGCTGAACAATTTCACGTACCCTATCCATCTCATTACGGTGAACCAACTCAATTGTGTCGTTTAAGAACTGCTCCATGTCATCGATTGCAACTTCGCGGAACCCCTCGATTTGGTTCCTGTCATCCACAGTCAGTGAAGCTTCTTCCTCATGTTCCACAACTGGTTCACTGCTTGCGGCAGCAACTTCAGCAGCCCAATCTGGCTCATCGGCGACACCACTCGCCCGTTTCTTCTTAATCATTGCCCCTCCAACGACTAGGTGCAGGCAGTGTGCTAGGCATGACATGTGCTCGACATGTAATAGTTCACCAGCAGCAACCATGTTTGTGCCTCCATCTCTCAAAAACCGGACACAGTAGAGCTTAGACAACTGCCATTCCTCCATAATTTGTTCAATCGCGTCTGCAATGGCGTTTCCATCATGAATGCCGGCCAGCTCTTTAACTTCCAGAGTCCAATTCTGAGGGCAAAATTCATCGTCCACGTAATGTATAGTCAACGAAATGTAGCTTTTCGTGTTGCTGGAAGTCCAAATATCACAGGTCATTGAAAAATACCAACATCCCTTCACAATGGCATGTCGTACTCGTTTTCGATACTCCACAGCCAAAGCCACTATTTGTTGTGCGATTCGCTCAGGAAGCCTTATTTTGATTCCACAAATATCTTCGGTAATGTATCGAATAAATACGACAAATCCAGCATCTTCCACAATCTTCATCGGCCGAAAGTGCCGTGCGATCCACTCAGCAAGAAGAAGATTTACGCGTTTCTGTTGCTCCGCTGAAATGGTACGCAACTGCCTTTTTCCATTATGAAGAGGAGCTTGGCCTGTGCTCTGATTTCGCTGCTCCGCTTTGGTGTTGTACACCTTTAGCTCTTCAGAATGGTAGATTTCCATATGCTGCGGCAACTTCGACTGACCAACACGAAACTTAACTTTTGCACTGCAAAGTAAACAATACGCGAGCTCGGCATGATCGTTATTCAAATCATTACGCTCAATTTGTCTGCACGCCTCGCTTCGAATGAGCCGAGCGAAATGCCAAACATCTCTCCTCTTCTGACGCTTCGTAGTAAAGAGCACTAATCCCGATTCACTTTCAGCACGCTGTTGCAGTACCTGGACGTCAATGACGGCACCTTCGTTTTCGAGAACAGGAGGGCGGATGCATGGGTGCTGGGGTTGCTGTGGCGACTGGTATTGCCAGAATTATTCCTGTGTCTGATGCTGCCAGTGCTGCGTCTGTGACTGTCGGTCTTGCCAGAATTGCTGTGGATGCTGGGTGAGCCGCTCCTGCACCTGTGGCTGGTGTGCTTGCCAGAGATGGAGAGGTTGCGCTTGCCAGAGCTGCTGTGGCCGCGTTTGCAGCGAGAGTTGTTGCTGGGACTGGTGCGATTGTCGAGAGAACGACCTCGATGGTTGAGCCGAGACGGAAGCTGGCACTGCAGTAGGCACTTCGTCATCGTAAGAAAGCACACGCCGAGGCGCTGGCGTACGGAGAGGACGTGGCGTGTGATGGCCGCGCGACTCGCGCCGCGAGTGCTGCTGTGCCTCCATAGGTATCGGAAAATGATGATCGCCTTCTCAGATAACACACAGCTTGAACAAAACACTTGAATATAGTATGTGCATAGTTTAACGCCGATGTACCATTGAGGATGTAGAAGGTAGTTGAAGTAGGTTTGAAGGGATTCAGATACCTTTCAGGGGTACCTCCGGATGCAGAGGTAACGGGAGGTTCACAAAGGTTCAGCGCCTGAACCTTCACACCACTACTTGTAGACCTTAATGCACTCACAATCCTCTGCGATTAGACGCTTTCCGCACGGCATCGGACTTGGGCGTGAAGTTTGCTAATGTGAACCAAGAGGGGTCATTTTTTGCGCTCTTTTCATTGGTATAACGTAAATGCTAAAATGAACACATTTTTTCTATTTATTTGAGATTATAAAATGTGCGCATATAGTTCAATAGTGAAAAAAGTAAGAGCTGTTTGTCCAATTAAGACTTTTAGGGGCCATTAGTTCGATACAAAAATCACTGCACCTGGAGAGAAATCGAAAAACTTCGCGTGGACTTGGACAGAGACTCTGACCAAGCCACGGGCATTGCTCGCGATGGTCAGGCAGACTTGCCGCAGAAAAAGTCTTTGTTGCGCTGCAAAAGTATTTTGGGGTAGCCAATTAGCTACGCTGCAAAATATTTCAATGCTTGGGCTCGAAAAAAAATCTACTTCAGTACAGTACTTGTTGCTGCACAATTGGCTACAAGTATCTCTACAGTATTACTGTAGTAGCTGCCGATACATGTGCATTACATTAGCCACCTTCAACTCGATAGTCGAGCGTGAATTGTGAGTCACATTCAAGTCTTGCTGCAAAACCTCAGCACTAATCGCATTATAATCTACTGCTTTGGGTATCTGAAGCGATTTATTCCTGCTCTTCCCAGTTGAGTGTACGCTCAACAGCCTTGTTCCACTGGTGGATGAAATGGCCACGCTTTTCTGGCTCCATATCCGGCTCCCACGTGGCACTCACCTGCCAATTCTCGCGTAGTTCCTCCACTGTCTTCCAGAAGCCCACAGCAAGACCAGCGGCGTACGCAGCCCCCAGGGCAGTCGTCTCAGCCACCACAGGGCGCACAACAGGAACGTTCAACACATCAGATTGGAACTGCATAAGTGTTTGGTCCACCACCATGCCACCGTCCACCTTGAGCTTAGTCAGGTGCACGCCACTGTCTCCCTCCATGGCTGCCACAACCTCTTGCGTCTGGAACGCCGTGGCCTCCAGTGCAGCCCGGCAAATGTGCTCGCGGGTGGCGTACGAGGTTAGACCGACCATGACACCACGAGCGTCATCACGCCAGCGGGGCGCAAACAAACCGGAGAACGCTGGCACGAGGTATACGCCACCGTTATCCTTCACCTGCTTGGCGTACTCCTCGACCTCGGGTGCGCTGCTGATCATTTTAAGGTTGTCACGCAGCCACTGAACTAGCGAGCCAGCGTACGAAATGGATCCTTCAAGCGCGTACACCGCGGGTTGGTCGCCGATCTTGTAGCCCATGGTGGTTAGGAGGCCCTTAGTAGGGGTGTGTGATTTGGTACCCGTGTTCATCATAAAGAAACAGCCCGTGCCGTACGTGTTCTTGGCCTCGCCGGGAGAGAAACACGTCTGGCCGAAGAGGGCCGCCTGCTGGTCACCCAAGTCTCCTGAAATGGGGATGCCGGGGACCACGCTGTCCTTGTGACCAGATGCATAAACCTCCGAGCTGGATCGAATAGCCGGCAGCATGGACTTGGGGATGTTGAGGCACTTTAGAATGGCGTCGTCCCACTGAAGCGTATCCAGGCGCATGAGGTTCGTTCGGGACGCGTTGGTCACGTCCGTCACATGCACGCCTCCTTCCACCCCACCGCTAAGCTTCCAGATGAGCCACGTGTCCATGTTGCCGAAAATGGCATCGCCACCCTCAGCCTTGGCGCGTAAGCCTGGAACATTCTCGAGCATCCACATAATCTTCACGGCCGAGAAGTAGGTGGCAATTGGCAAGCCCGTGATGGCGCGAAATCGGTCTGCACCCGTGCCCATGAAGCCCTCACCCTCGCCGTTCTTAAGCCGGTGCACGATCTCCGTAGTGCGCGTATCGTGCCAGACAATGGCATTGTAGAGCGGCTTGCCAGTGACACGGTCCCAGATGAGCGCCGTCTCGCGCTGGTTGGTGATGCCTACGGCCTGCAGCTGCGAGAGATCGATGCCGCCCTTAACCAGCGCTTCGCGCACACACACCTCGACGTTACGTGTGATCTCATCGGCATCGTGCTCGCACCAGCCTGGCTGCTGGTAAATTTGCTTGTGCTCCAACTGGTACGTCGCCGCGATATTGCCGCTGTGGTCGAACGCGATGAATCGCGAACTGGTGGTGCCCTGATCGATAGCACCCACGAACGACGTTGCCGGGGTCATGGTAGAGAGTAAGGACGAAGGAGTAACGAGGAGCACGGCAACTTGAGGATGACGAAGACACTTGAGAAGTGAAGGCAGGCGGGCGTGGCGCCGACAAGCAGTGTTGCGCAGCCACATGGCGAATGATTCCTGTCAATTATGTTTTCGTACGCGCCGTCAACAGCGCAAAAATATGGGTATAAGCTAAAAATGGGCAGCTTTATTAATAGAATGGAACAATCCGCTACTTTAACTGGGGGCACGTTTCTGATTTCTCTTGCATTATCAGAACCGCTAATTCCAATTACAGTACTGCACCCCGTTTTCGCGCCCTTGGACCTCTGATAAACTTCCGGATGTGATGAAACTAAATCCAAATAAACTGAAGCTTGTAAGCTAAAATATGATTTACTTGCAAATCCTATATGGTCCACCCTCACGAAAACGGGGTGCAGTACTGTACATGTAGCGCCTCCTAAAATCCGGATCTGAGTAAGCAGAGGATTCAGGTACAGTAGCACACTGTACCCCGTAAAGATCGGTACTGGTACAGTACAATGTACTGAGTACATAAAAATGGCCCTTAAAACTTTCAACCAGATAAGTGACACATGCACGTCGTTGAAGTAGCGAAAGAGGATGGGTCTGCCGAAATTCAAGATCGCCCAAACTGCATGATGTTTCAAAACACGATCCTATTAAGGTCTTTTCATTTGGTTTTTGTAAGTGGTATCCTCGGTCAAACACCGTAAAATGCGACTGCATGAATTCGTCGACACTTGAGCTTTTCGATGCATGTACCTGTAACCGAAGTGCATTTGAACATAGCGCCGGGTATTGTATTCCGGGAAAATGTCAACATTCACCAAAGGTTTGCCAAAAGGTGATAATATCGTCAGAAGGTGTATTTTGAAATTATCGGTATTCAGTAGGTGTATGAACAATGCGTTTTATTGTTCGAAGGTCCGACCGAATTGGCTTAGAATGAGCGGGTTGCCAAAACCCCGGTATATAGCCGTATGCGCCACAGAGCTTTGAATAAAAACTGCGTCAGAACGTGTGTCGGTATGAAACGTGGCTTGCGCATCCCGAGGGCTGTGCATAGTACACCTTTTGGCAAACCTTTGGTGTACCCATACATGTTTTGACATTTTCCCATTTTATCCGACAGTCATCATGTACTACATGTCCCTTAAAATAGAATATTTAATATTTTAAAATAGCCGACTCGATAATTTGCGGACCAAAATTGCTGAGGATCACTTATCACCAGTTGTTGCTTATAAATCCAAGCCCGTAGAAACGCTGCCTCACTTCAGGTATGCTCGCAAGTCTATAATGAAACACAACCCGTAGTTAGTGCTATTAGAGTTGCAGTAAAACAAAACAAAAATGCATTGGGCATTAACAATAACTGTTTCATTTCTTCTGTGCTACCGCTTCACGTCGCGCCTCTCGACGTTTTTTAAGGCGAAACGTAGTAGTAGGCTTAATCTGCTGCCAGTAGACGATGGTAAACTTGATTTCTTACATGCATTGTATTTTGGTTTTTCTTGAGTTTATTTCAGTCTATTTTTAGTCTGTGTTTGTATGAAGTATTATGCAACGCTTTTCAAAACGATATTACACTTTTTCGTATCGCATTGCCAAGCACGGGAGAAGCATAATTCACTTGTATGATGCGGTGACAAGTGACAAGGTTCAGGATAACCTCAAGGTATTGTAACAAGTTGATGGCGTGGTCTACCGAAGATCTTCCGGAAGAGTGTACGTTGGCACGTAGCCAGCTTCAACGTGGAGAACATGCGACCAAAGGGTGGAAGGAGCCCAACGGACACAACGGACGCACGGTTAGGACGGAGATCTTAGACGGCGAGCCGTCGCGACCGGTAGCGTTAGACGGCAAGAAGAGCAAGGAGGTGAGTACTTCTGAATTTGCAAAGGACGAGACAAGTAGATTAAGGAGTGTGACGAGAGACGAAAGATAGTCGAGGGCTGAAAGTACAGTCAGCGACAAGACAAAGACGAACGAAAGGGCTGTTGAGGCACAGAGTGTGGCTGACAGAACGTTCGGGGTTGTGGTGGACGCACTGCTGTGGTGTTGGAATTTCCACGTGAACTCTAGCTACAAATGTAGTTAGGACGTCCCACAACAATACGTCTACTAGGATAGTAAACGATCGTTCGGGCGGACCTGAAGACCCCAGTTCTGCCCTTGCACCGGGACAAACTGGACCTTGTAAACTACTTATATAGGCCAGCCAGTAAACATAAGAACACGCTACTAGCCCGGAAAACGCTAGTCGGTGTTTTGAATCCTCGTGGTCCCAACAGCGGAAGGGTACCAGGCACGGGTAAGTCTTTTACGAGATCACCGAGTGTTCAACACTCGGTTGGAAGAATAAAAGGGATGCAGTTCAAGCACTCCCAGTCGTGCAAATAGGCAACAATAAGCCGTCACGTAAAACCTCCCGATAGTAATCGGCCAATACACAAAGTCTCTTGGCCTTGCCGAATGAACCCTCGCTACAGAGCTTCGAGTTCACCGACAGACATAACACACTCAAACAAGCTTGACCAGACGCTTACATTGAAGCCGGACGTCGCTCTGTGTGCTTGAGTGGGAATTCTGTTCTGTATTTAAGCTTACCCTTTCGGGTCTATTCCTAATGAGAAGTCCTAATCAAGTATACAAATATCAAGTGAGCAATGATCCGTTATGGATCTTCTTGCATGCCAAGCGTCGTCTGCACCGTCGCATGAGTATCTTTAACGGTCCGCGCCCTGTCCCAGACTGTGAACGTGTCTTCCAAGGGTCGCTGAGTCTTCCGCGAACTCATCCCAACAGCCGCTGAGGTTTCGTATAGTGTAGTAGAACACACAAATATCGTCAGATGTGGATTCCTTACACAAACCACAACGAATCGCCGAGTTAGGTCGGCGGTTTGTATGGCCTGCGCAGAGGGTGGTCCCCTCGCGGTCCGGCCCTTCCGGGACAGACGAGTGGCTCGTTTCCACTCGGTTCCGACTAACCAAGTCAGATCACTTCCGAGACTCCGCCGAGTTTGGTTCGGCTGAGCTCGTTCACAACCCTGTGCCCTCCACCAAAGGATGGACGACGGCGCGCGAGCGCTTTTACAGGTCACCGAGCGCAGAGGCTGCTCAGCTAGAAGTGTTACGGCACCCGGGCTATCCGACGTACCGGCCCGCTGAGTATGCGGGACTTTCTTTCGCGCGTAGCGAGACTTTGTCCTACCCGGACCGACCTAATCTCTTGGCGCTACCAGTCAATACTCTACAAGCTATGCCTCTCGAGTATTGACGGCAGGCATAATCCAGCCCTATGCAGGGACTTACCGGAAAAGTGTACACTTGTCTTGGACTAGAAAAATTCTGCTCTGTTATCTTCTGGGAGCCTTTTCGGCTCCTCCTATTTAATCCTATGCTTCTCATACAAATATCTAGTGAAATGTAGTCGTTTCGGATCTCTACCGACTCTTCAGGCGGCCGTTGAGCTCAGCGGCTATCCGGATAGCATATCCGGACAGATCGCCGAGTACTTACCGTGATCCTTGGCTCCTAAGCTCTGGGTTATCAGACCAAGCCGATTCTTGACCTAAAGTAGGTCGGCGTATGGTCGAATCTGGAAATCCCTGTTGTGGTGTAGTAGAACACACAAATATCGTCAGATGTGGATTCCTTACACAAACCACAACGAATCGCCGAGTTAGGTCGGCGGTTTGTATGGCCTGCGCAGAGGGTGGTCCCCTCGCGGTCCGGCCCTTCCGGGACAGACGAGTGGCTCGTTTCCACTCGGTTCCGACTAACCAAGTCAGATCACTTCCGAGACTCCGCCGAGTTTGGTTCGGCTGAGCTCGTTCACAACCCTGTGCCCTCCACCAAAGGATGGACGACGGCGCGCGAGCGCTTTTACAGGTCACCGAGCGCAGAGGCTGCTCAGCTAGAAGTGTTACGGCACCCGGGCTATCCGACGTACCGGCCCGCTGAGTATGCGGGACTTTCTTTCGCGCGTAGCGAGACTTTGTCCTACCCGGACCGACCTAATCTCTTGGCGCTACCAGTCAATACTCTACAAGCTATGCCTCTCGAGTATTGACGGCAGGCATAATCCAGCCCTATGCAGGGACTTACCGGAAAAGTGTACACTTGTCTTGGACTAGGAAAATTCTGCTCTGTTATCTTCTGGGAGCCTTTTCGGCTCCTCCTATTTAATCCTATGCTTCTCATACAAATATCTAGTGAAATGTAGTCGTTTCGGATCTCTACCGACTCTTCAGGCGGCCGTTGAGCTCAGCGGCTATAGAGATCCCGGATCCACGACGGGATCCCAAGTAGTACGACGCCAGAAGACGACCTAAAACAGGAACTGGATCCACCCCAGGACCAACGGGGAGAGAATCCAATCTGGACAGAGACGACGGAGGAGAGCTCGGAAAAGGTGGAGCCTCGGTGGATTCGAGCTCAGCACGCGTTCGTGGAGCTAAGGAACATGATCGCGACGACGCCCATCCTCCGCCATTTCGATCCGGGACGTCAACCTACGGTGATAGTCTATGCTAGTGACTGGGCAGTCTCAGCGGTTTTGGTACAAGAACATGAGGGGATCTGCCATCCGGTCACCTTCGTCAGCCGAACGCTAAAGCCGAATGAGTTGAATTACGGAGCGGTGGAGAAGAAGATACTCGCGCTCCTGCGGGTGTTGAATCTTAATTACAACCTGCTGGTGGGAAGATCCATCCGGATCTTGGCTCGACACTCTACGCTCGCTTGGTTGTTCAAGTCGGCCGGTCTTCAAGGACGGTTGGGACAATGGGCAGCTTTACGCTCACCTTGGACACTGGAGATCGTGAAATGTTCGAAAGGGGGAGACGAGATCCTGGGAGTTTTGGCCGCGAGCATCACACCCAGAGCCAAGATGGACGAAGCACTAACT